CATAGACACATCCAAACTCCCTGAGGGACCGAACTGCTGGGCTGAGGGCTGTGGGGACCATGGTCTTGGGGAACATCTAGCTCAACTGGCAGAACATAGTTGATAAAGAAAATGTTCTACATTTTCCCTTGGTGAGTATTGTTTGGGGTCTTAAAAGTCTGTGAACGGCCATCTAAGATACTCCACTGCTCTCACCCCTTCGAGAGTAACAGAGAAATGAAGAAAACAAGACACAAGGGAAAGATTAGCCCAAAGGATTAATGGACCATAACTATCACAGCCTCCATCAGACTGAGTCCAGTACAAGTATATGGTGCCAAGCTACCACCGCTGACTGCTCTGACAGGGATCACAACAGAGGTTGCTTGACAGAGATGAAGAAAAATGCAGAACATAATTCTAGCTCACAAAGAAAAATCAGACTTACTGGCCTGACAAGAGACTGGAGAAACCCCAAGAGTATGGCCCCCAGACACCCTTTTGGCTCAGTGGTGAAGTCACTCCCGAGGTTCACTCTTCAGCCAAAGATTAGACAGCCGCTTGGAACAAAATGAGACTGATAAGCACAACATTCCAGGGACAGGGACTGGAAGGCAGGAGGGGAGATGAAGACTGGTGGTAGGGAACCCAAGGCCGAAAAGGGACAGTGTTGACATGTCATGGGGTTGTTGGCCATTGTCATAAAACAACATATACTGTTTAATGAGAAACTATTTGTTCTGTAAACCTTCATCTAAACTGCAATAAAAAAATAAAATAAAAATAACTACAAAAGAGAATCTTAGTTCTTAAATGCCACTTTATATTATTTATAGCATCTATCAAGTCATTTTCCTGAGATGATATATATTATGCACTATACCCATCGCTCCACATAATTTCAAAATCAGCATTTCTATAACTGGTATTTGACAGAAAGCTGGTCTGGGAGATGCTTTATTTATTTAGCAAATACTTACTAAAAAAGAAAAAAACCAGTTGCCATCAAGTCAGTTCCAACTCATAGCGACGCTATAGGTAAGAGCAGAACTGCCCTATAGTTTCCAAGGAGCAGCTGGTTGGATTCCAACTGCTGACCTTTTGGTTAGCAGCCATAGCTCTTAACCACTGCTGCACCACAGCACCAAAATACTTATTAGGTACAAATAAAAACATGCTGTGCTCAATTAAGTTTAAGAATCACTGAGTTAAAGTTAAAAAGTGATTAACTGTAGAACCACTGAACAGCTTTTAACATTAAAATCACCAAGGAAAAGATTCACTCATTTCCTAAATACATTAAACATAAAGTCATTTTTTCATGGTGTACTTATTAACACAAATTTAAAGAGTTCCACAAAACACAGGGAAATACTGCTTTAAACAAAAAAATTAAAATTAAATCAACATAAACACTTACAAATATTTTAAGAGCATTAAATCAATCAGTAATGAAGTTATTTTTTAAAAAATACCTGACATTAAAGAAATAAGTCTCTGTCTGGCCTCATTTGATGCCCTTGGTGTGCGAATTCTATCAATCCATTGATATTCTGGGTCTTCATTGACCACAAGTTCTTCTACAAATCCATGAATTATCACAGCTTTATAGCACTTTGGAATAGATGTTGCTGTTAAAATAAATTAACTATTACACATCTGTTTATCACAAGTTCAAATTCCATTTTTTATTTAAAGGTACATCTAAGGTCTTACCTTCTGGCTATATAATACAATAACATCTTTTACTGTGATAATCTCAATGTAATTATAATACTTCCAGTCAAATAATCTTCTAAGATCCACTTTGTTCTTAGAAATAATCATTTTCTTTCATGAGGCCTTTCATCTTTCTCATATAAGCATAGTAAATCTAAACTATATTTTATAATTTAGGAATTATAGACTACATTAGATAGCATTCAATACAAAATTCTAAAAATCAGGATTAAAGTCAGCTAGGTGATTATTACATAAAGAGGTAGAAGGCAGATAATACAAAAATCTTTAATCATTCAAAGCCCTCTGTGCTTCTTCTGTACGCTACATACTGCAGCCTAAATCAAACCGTTCACTTTCTGACATAACCGGAGGAGTCATACAGCCCTGCACTTTCTAATAATTCTTGGTGATAAGGCTAACTGGTTCAGTAGTCACTGTAATACTTAATAGATTCATGTAATATATAGAACACCAAATGTCACTGGATTTAAACAAGACCTGATCAGATTAAAATTAGGGAGAACCTGAAAATACTTACACCAACCTAGTCTCTTAAAATAGACACTTAAGATACTGCTGGGCTATTAAGGGAATGGTCACCTATTCATCTATTCCAATAGCTCCTCTCCATCCTCAGGTTTTTTAAAACAATCTTGACGTCTTGAAGTTAACTCAACGATTTGGAGGGTTTACCACCCTACTAATCCAGGCTGGCTATGAGCTGTACAGATTTGCCCGTTCAGACCCACATTTCATTGAGTTCTCAGGGCTCCATACTAGTGGAAGCCTATATAATTTTGGATAGCAGCACGGTGCTTAGCTATAGTGCTCTGCTTCTATCTTTCAGTGTCCCATATTAAGAGTAAACTATCACTAGATTTTTCTAACAAAAATTTCTATGACCTTGTAAAAATTACATAAAATTTATTCTCACATCAGATAAACATTCCCCAGAGCTAAAGTAATAGCTCCTGCAAAATTAACAATTTTCTCTTTGACATTAAAATCAAAGTATTATAGCTATTACATTAGTCTGATTTCCCACATTTTGCAATTATTTAATCTTCTGTTAAAATGAATAATAAAACATATTTACTTACTACAAAAGAATTTGACTCCACATGATGACTGCCTAAATCGGTTTAAATCATTAAAGAGGTCTACTTTGACAACTACATTGATTTCCCCACGAATACCTACAAATTCAAAAGGAAAAAATAAGTTTCTACTTTAGGAAAATAATGTACAATGAAATAATCAAGCAAATAAATTCCAATTACTGATTTTAAAATAACCTATCAAGAACACTAGTATTGCTACCTTTGTTTCTTAATTTCATTCTAAGTAGTTTGTTACTTTATTACACTTTCTGAAGCAGACCTGTGTGTATTAGAGATTGAACAATTTTCATTTTTACCACAAGTCTCCACTTAATTTGATTCAGGCCTAATTGGACAGAAGCCCCATTTAAACTGATGCTGATATTTGTCGGGCATTTTACAGATAACTGATAAGCTGAGATAGAGATAAGGTTGTGAATGCTTTACATGGAGTATCTCATAATGCTCACATCAACCCAGTTAGGTAATTTCTGTAGCATTAACATACCAATTTTTGTGAAAATTAAATAGTGTGTGTAGTTTACTTACTGTGTAGTTTTGTTTATTATGATAAACAGTAAATGGCAGAGTCAGAGTTTAAAGTGAGATTCTTAGGATTCCACAGTCTATTCTCCTAACAACTAATGCAAAACTGTAATTTAAAACAAAGGAAGTTTTGTTCGCTTCAATGAACAGAAATTAAATAAGCTAAGGAATTCCAAGAACAAGCATTTTCAGAACATGCTCTCATAATAAGAATGACTCAGCCCCTATCTCTGAACATTTACTAAATATTTTCATTTAACTATCCTGATTTCACATCGAATTCACACTTATGAGGGAAGATCTTCGAAGAAAGGTGACTTGTTAATCTACCCACTGAAATAATAAATTATGTTCTTAACAAAGGCCCATGAACACGTTAAACAATGTTGTTATTAGTTGCCATCTATACTGTTGTGTGCCTTTGAGTCAATTCTGCCTTATAAGACAGAGCAGAACTGCACCATAGGGTTTCCTAGGCTGTGATCTTTATGAAAGCAGACTGCCAGGTCTTTTCTCCAGTGGAGCCACTGGTGGGTTCAAACAGCCGACTCTTTGGTTAGCAGTCAGGCGCTTAATCATTGCCCCATCATATTTAATATAAAATGTTTGGAAAATTCATGCATTCATACAGATACTGCCTTTAATTGAAGCCCAAATTAATTCTTCAGGGACTTCTTTTACTGATAATACAACATTTGACTGTATTTTACTTCCTGATTATAAAAACGATACATGTACATTATAGAAAATATGAGAAAAGCAAAAGAAGAAAAATAATTATGATCCAAAAATGAAACTATCCAGGGATAAACATTTTATCAGATATTCTGCCAATTTCTCCAATGATGGCACATATGTGCAATTCTTTTGTTTTTAAACAAATATGGCATCATCCTAACAAGTTTCATAACCTGAATTTTACAATTCATAAGATATTATGCACAGGTCCATATGCCACTAAGCGTTTTCTGAAAACACGCTTTTCTTCCCCTAACACTATGGTCTATAGTTCCCCAATTTACTTGAGTATATCCTGTTTTTCAATTTATTTTGCCACTATAAATACTAGTAAATAATACTAGAATGTAAATAACATCACAATAAATATACCTGTAGATAAACTTCGGCAAACATCTTACTTGGTTATAATAAACTACTAACCAGGGAACTGCCAAGTCAAAAAAGTAAAATAGCAGCAAAATGCAAGCCTGGAGAAAAATCATCTGCCAGTTAAGAATGAGTCCATTTATTAATCTAATGAGGCCTTATACCTTCAGCCTAGCAGTTTTCAAACTTTTTGGTTGCAAGACCGCTTTACAATCTTAAAAATAACTGAAGGATGAAACTGGAGGACATCATGCTGAGTGAATAAGTCAATCACAAAAGGACAAATATTGTATGAGACCTCTATTGTAAAAACCCATGAAAAAGTTCACACACAAAATGTAACAATCTTTGTT